GTGCTCTGGCCGCATGATTTCAGACTTGTCTCCCACTTGTCTCCCAGTAAGCTCTGGATGCTCTAGTGCTCTGGCCGCATGATTTCACACTTGTCTGCCATTTGTCTCCCATTTGTTTCCCACTTGTCTCCCAGTAAGCTCTGATCCTCGTTTCGTTTTGAGTCACCACAAGCTTCTTTCGAGTTGCTTTGCATCGAAATACACTATTTTCACATATTTTCACCACAAGCGTTGCATTGCTCGATTTGCTGTTTAGGTTGGCAGCTACTTTCGTGCGGATGATCAACGAAGCAATCACACACTCTTACGTCAAGTGTTGCGACCTATGGCAAACACAGGTCAATGCAGTACATGGCTAAGCCAAAGAAGGCAACTGCGTAGGAAGGAAAAAGCCAAGCGCAGTGTCCGTGCTCTGAGGAAATCTTCATTTTGATTGGGTCTGCGCATTTGTGTTTACAAGGGGGGGCAACATATGTCACAACCTGGATCCATAAATTTCATGTTTTAGCCCTTGTACGGCGTCCCATTGTAAAGTCAATGAAAAACAGAATTTTAATGCGTTCCCTTTGAATCTTGTATGTGCGTCTACATGGTGGACTACAGTTTTCTTCCTCTAGGAAATACTGCTGGCCATATTGTTCGGAGATCTCATTTTTGAACATTGCTCTGTTTGGGGTCTACGCTGATATAATTTTCTCTCTTCCGTGCGCAAACCGAACCAGTGCAAACTCATCGGGTCAACTGCACGTGAACTGTGGGGCGAAAGTTCTGCGCTGTTATCTCACCCTCTGCAAGTGTAAATAAGGGAGACTCGACTCGCCTTCTGGTCAGGAAAGCATGATAATTCCAAAAGAAGAGTTTTCTGAAGCACATCGAAGTGCACAAGCGGTACGAAATGACGCAGCAGCAGTGACGGAAAGGGCAAAAAGGTATTAATCGGCCGGACACGCAGCAGCCTATACTCTTGATACACCACCTGCGTCCTTGCAGTGACAACTTGAAAGAACCTATATATCTAAATGTGCTTGCAAGGCAAAGTGCTTGCAACGAGGTTGCGCCAGATCGCAGTGGACAAGCTGTTCGACCTACTGGGCGGCAGTGTCGGGAAAGCTCCCTCATTTCTCACCGAAGGAAATTAGGCTCCAATCAAACAGTGATCGCTCTTGCTTCAGTAGCTAATCAGCTATCCTAACCTGCCCTTGCCCGGTTTAAGTGTCACAGAACACGGCATAGACTGCAAGCGATGCTGCATGTGCCAATATGTGCTGCCGCGGCTGATATGTGCTGACGCGTCAGCCTCTGCCGCCACAATGCTTTTTCGATCTGGAACCCCCTTCCTGTGCTCGAAAAGGATCTCAGTTGAGCCTTCATGCAATTTGTCTCGTACCATATGGTATAGTATTTAATTATCTACTAGATTCTACTATCTACTAGATTCTACTAGTATCACTTGAACGAAACACTAACAATAGCAAAACAACTTGCCATGCATCCAATTTCAAGTCCTCAAGAAATCAAGGTGGAGCCTTGAGTGTGACCAAAACATGTGCACACTTCGTTCGACCGGTCACTTCGTCCAAGAGATCGACTCGACCTACCCGGTAAGCCACGGGGGCGGGGCCCGGCAGGGAGAGAGGGGCGACAAAGCCATCAGTGCCGTCTTGGCCTTTTTCAGCTGCTCTTGCAACTGCGACAGCTTGATCTCCAGCTCCTCCTGGGAGAGTGGCCACTAGAGCCCTCCAACCTAATAGCGATGGCCTCCAACCTAATAGCGATGGGCTCAAGTAGAGTGGTTCTCTAAAACTAAACCCCTCGAATTCAACGTCATCGGCAGAGTTTCTTCTGCGGAGTGAGCCGTCCAGCGTTGGCACTCTAAGGATGTGGGTGATCCTGACATTTCTAGGGGTGGACAACTCAGTGTAAAGTAGGTGGCCACGAATGTGAGCCAGTCTTTGGCCAGAAAGTCTTCTCAAGTTGGCTTGGTGAAAGCCCAGCCCAAAGAGTCGAAACAAATTGATATCGCTATTGATTGGCACAAACCCACTTTCACTCCTGATGGTATATCATGGGAATGTCGGAGTATCAGATAGCTAGATGAGCCTGCATTAGCATGGGCGGCTTCAGGCCGCAGTATCCATGGATCCCAATGCTTTTGGGGAAGCTTGGCACACATCCAGTTGTTCGGGATGCCGCATGTGACTCATGGATCCATCCGCCACTTCGCCTGCTTCAACTCACTCCCCTCTTTCAGGTGGATATGGCCACTGTTTTGACCACATGATGTTCTGTTTGAACAGGGGGTTTTGCAATAGCTTGGGACACGTTCTCGGAGTCTAAAATAGATCAGGTTGCTCGAGACTTGGCTCGGCTCTGTTTCTTTACAGCGGTGTGAAGGCCGATTGGACAACAAAATGGAAGACCACCACATTGACTCAAGCCACACGTTGTGGACTCAGCTGGAACTTGGGAATCTACAAATGATCCATTTCGACCCACCTCGGCTTCCAAAGAACCCCGTTGGGCTGCACATGGCTGCACCGTTTCTGCCCCACACAGCAAGCCCACCTTGGCAGCAAGCTTTTTCTTGGCCTCGTCCAAAGACCGCTGAAGCTTCCTGTGACGATCGTCGGCACGACCACCGAAGAAGAATAGCTCTAGACTTGTGCAAGACCTGGGAGTGAATCAAGAAATCAATTGATCTACCAGCAGTTCCGAATGGGGTGGCGAACTGGGAGAGTCACTTGAGGACTACAACACATTCCATGATTCCGCCACTCGAGTGAATCGCCCGTCCAGATCCGTTGGGGACAACACCCAGTTCCCAGTCCAAGAGGTCGCTTGAAACCACGCCATGGTCGGCATGTAGCAACCATTTCCCAACTGATCTAGGCCTTCATGCGAGGAAAGCAGGGAGTGACCCCAGCATCGGTCGGCGCTCTTTGGAATGCAACTGAAGGATGATGGATGACACATGTCCATCTCCGCCGTCCCGTGTGAAAGCACTCAGCCTGCCCTTACTTCTGCCATGGGTCCGAACTTGCCGCTGCTCTGGACGGTCCTGCCGATTTCCAGTCCCCAAGGGCTTGCAGGTCCTAAAGCAATCTCATTCAATCTAGTCTCCATCAACGTGACTGTCAAGAAATGCTGCCGCTAGAATGCTGATCAATTCGTCCGATAGTGACTGACTTGCGATCCGAAGAGATCTGAAGCAGTAATTATAATCTCTCACGCGTCCGGCTTCAAGCTGTCAGTCTACCCCAAACGAATGCAACATTGTAGAGGTTCAGCTTATATCTCTTATACACACTTTGCCTTGTTCTACGCCTCTGGATCTTTGACCTTGACTACCAACTATGGCTGGGCCTTGTTTTCTCTCCCGTGAACCCCCCCAAGTTCACAACAATGAAGAAAGTGGTCAAAACAGCAGGTCACGTTGTAGGGTGTCTTGCGCTTTGACATGTGTCCGAGCCACCACCCACTGGTGCTTCTCGCCTGCGCCAGGTGTGTTGGCGAAGTGAACAGCTCGTCCTATTTCGCCGTTAGAGTGAGCATGGTCGGAGAAGGCAGGACTGGTTGATGTTCACGTGTGGAGGGAAACAAAGCCACAAAAAATGACTGTTCGAGAACACAGTCCAACACAGTCAAAGACTCGCGGACGGTGTGAGTCTTGCGACGTTTCAGAGAGGAAATCCGTTGGCGTCCCTGGACGGAATGCGGCGGAAAAACTTGCCTGTTTGGCAACTGGTGGCCAAAACCAGGTTCTAAGTAATTACCCTTGGCCTAGAGATGATTGGAATGAACATGGAAAACTCGGGAAACCCATTGGATTTCATCTCCACAGTCTTGGCAGATCCAGTCAAGACCGCCTGTGCTCTCACCCCAGGCCCTGGGAGATACTCCGAAGCTACAAAAGCCACTTGGAACGTGGACCCCGAATGTGCGGGAACAGCTTGCGATATGCAAAACATATTATGGAAGACACCATTGCCATAGATCTGGTCAAATGCCATGCTGGGTCTTAGTGAAACTTCCTCGGCACATGCATGATCTTGCATGTACTTGCACAGATAATACTCCACCAAAAGAATGTAGATGCAAGCCCTTTTCAAAATTTTGGCCCTTCAACTTGGAATGGTTATCCCTCAATGCATCGCAGTAGTCTGTGGGGCGGTGGGCCCAATCCTCCTTCGTTGCTGAGGTCTTCTTTCTATGTTGAAGCTCCAGCTTCAACACTTCTACCACAAACCAACGGCTTCGGGGCTTTTCTTGGTTGCCGAATCAACCACAAATGTGCCGGGCTGGACACCAAGAAGAAGCACATCCAGGCCCATCTTCTCCAACGCTGTAACACCCTTAACTCACACATGTAGAATAGGAAGCCTTCTGGTTGTCAGTCCCTAACTTTGCGCTGGCCATGTCCTTGCACTGCGCGAGCTGCTCTTTCAGGGCATTGTGTCTCTGGCGGAGGCGCCAGCACAGGAGCAGCAAAATCAGCAAAGTGATGAGCAGAAGGAGCACCTGAAACTGATGACCGAAGAGCCAACCAATCAACCAAACCACTTGGAAATGGTGGAGATCAACATGTGTTGTTCCAGGAGACCAACCAAGCAGTCGTGCAAATGAGCGAGCGGCAAAGCCTCTTATACATTATACACCTGATATTATTGGCATAATCATATTTTGGGGGTGTTCACCATATCGTTGTCAATGATTTTAAATAACTTGCAAATCCTTGCGACTTATCATCAATGCGCAATTTTCTGCGCAGTGGTTTGGAGGTTTGGAGACATGCAAGGCGAACCAGGTTTCGCCGAGGTCGGGGCGAGGAAACTCTCCCCACTGTAGGGCTACTGCAGGACTGGTGGGCAAACAAAGAAGACCGAGAGCAAGGTCACACGAAACACCAATATGGATCAATATGATAAAGCGTAGATGGTGCTGCTACTGTAAGAGTCACTCTTCAAACAAGCCGTATGGACATGTGTGGACCCAAACGTGGCGGTTGAGAGCATCATAGATTCACGTATGCTCCTGCGTATAGTGGACTTACCTCCACATGCCGCCTTTCGCTGGACTGCCTTCTTCGATACATGTTGCAGTTTAGGCCCCATGTGCCATCGTGGGTGTCACACAAAGCCAGCTTTGTTTTCTCTCCATCTAAACACACATCTTGAAGCAACGGTGGGCCACCAGCTTTCCAAGCTGGGTTTTGCTAAAAACTGGATGTCGTTTCCATTATCGTTCCAGGACTGCCGCCACAAAGAAAAAACATCAAACAAATGATACATGAAACGGTCAAAAGTGTTACCCCAAAAACTGCCTTACCGTTTTGCGGGTTTCACCACATTGTTTTCCAGTGGATTGTCCCAGTCTTGCTGGATTGTCATTCCCAGTAAACTTGCATGTCTGTTACATGTTTATATATCATGCAGAGTTTTGTCTCGGCCCAGAATAAAAATCAAGAGGAATAGTTTCGCCTCTTGCTCAAATTTGTTTGTGTCCCTACTGGCCCCGCTGTAACAAGGGGTATTTCATGAATTGAAGAGCAAGCAACAAAAGATGGATGCCTATGCTGGATCCAGTGCTTTCTGCAACAAAAATTCCAGCGCTCTCTGTCTGGCTCTTGCTGGGTCTCTTTCTCCTTCGGGGTGGTGCCGAGCTCGGCGACCCGCGCCTTGCAACGTGCGTGCTTGCGGCCCGTTGTTCAGTCGAGGGACCAAGACGACCAGCACCCAAACCGCTGAGTCGTCACTCTCCTCTGCCACGAAGCTGGTGCCTCAGGTGGAGGGCGAAAGACTGCACCACCTCCGCAAAGATGCAACAGGCCGTTAGACTTCGAGCGCCACAAACACTGGATTCAAAGAACAGGAATGCAACTGATGCACCATGTGTATGGCATCACCGAACCTGCCACAAATAAGGCAAGATCAGAACATATCAAACATCAAAATGACTGTGGCATGGTTATTGGATGTTCTTGGATGTTCTTGGTGCTCTACCCACACCGTGATCGGATTCTACCCGACCCAACGACTGACGTGGAATCCGCCCGAGCGTCAGTTGGGACTGGACATCGTGACGATGGTGGCTTCTAGGAACTCCTCGCGCTTCCTTGGGAGAAGGGGACGACCGCCATCGGGTGATGGTGCAATGAAGGTTTCGGCAATCCTGACAATCTGGAAGATGAAGCGCCACGTGAATTCGCAGTAACCGAACAATCCAGGGTTTCATGACTGACTGTGACTGTGCAGTCCCTGCAACTCTGGCTCTCAACAGAGTAGCTGAACATTAGTATCACCAAAGTATTGCATGGATGAAGCTTCCTCTATTCCTTAAATGATTATATATGGGCAACCTGAGGATCTGAGCATTGAGATTCACCTGAATGAAAACTGCCAAACACCAGTAGTGGATTACATGGAATCAAATCACCGATGTTCACCGGTCTGATGTCAGCCACACCATCACTAGTAGGTTGGAGGCCATCGCTCTTCGGTTGGAGGCCATTGCTAGTAGGTTGGGGGCCATTGCTACTAGGGTGGAGGCCTCTACATATAGATGTCATCCACTTCTGCCATGGCTCCGACACTCCTCCAGGCCAAAGCGTGCGCCACGAAGATCTGCTTGGCACTCCTGGAGAGACTCATTCAGCACCGTCCGGTGCCGTGGCTTCTTTTTGCTGGAAAGCTTCAAAGACATACGAACGAAAGCTTCATTGTTACTACAGGTGAACCGATTCCCAAGGAAGCTTGTAGTTACTGGAAAGTTTTTTTTTGCAAATGAGCATGAAACAGAAACTGTATCCTATGCCTGCCACGGAAACTGTAGGGTAGTGGATATCTATGGTATTGTATGGAAACTAGTAACATACGTATGGCATGGAAATGCATGGAAACCCTGTGAAACAAGCCATGTTATGTATAATATATATATATATATGATATTATATGATTATATATATATATATATGTGTAGCTAATTGTATACAAACGATGGACATTTTGAATAGGCTTCAGAATCTCTTCAATCGCAGGAAACGACGAACGCCGCCCGGTGGCGGATCGGAGATCCGCCAAAGAGAGCTGGGAAGGAGTTGTTGCGTGTCTCAGGCGGAATGAGGCGTGAAGATGGTGACTCCCAGATGGTGAAGACTCTAAGACTATAAGAAAGACTCTATAGTGAAGAATGAAAGACTCTAAGAGTAAAAGCAAATCCGAAACCTTTCTCAGGCAAGGACGCTACGAACGGGGCTCCTGGCCTTACTACCAGGAGCCATGTTCGCTACTAACAAAGGGCATCGCTATGGGAGCAAAGGACGCACCAAGCCTCCAAGTTCCGCTCACAAAGAGCAGCTGAGCCGCAGCCGAGGGCAGAGGCCCAGCCAAGACAAGAGCTGCAGCATCCGCAGGTCACGGTGCCTGCGATGGTCGCCCGCGGCAACTGACCAGGCACAGCACGATCTCTAAACCGCATGGAAACCAGCCGCATGGGCTACTTGCTACTAGTGGCTCATCCACTAAAATCATCTGAGATCGTTTCTCATTGCAGAGCGAGAGCAAATTGAAGAAACACGACACTTTGAAGAGAGGTGTGCGTCCACCTGACAACTCATTCAAGGAACCTCCTGACAAGGTATTTGCTCCATAAAATCTCGTTTTATGAGTCAAACGACGATGTCATGCGAACAAACATGAACAAACCACAGCCAACATTACCCCCACTTCTTTGACTCTTGGGACTTCTTGCAGCCTGTCACTCTTCTAGGCCTCGCTCGACCTGTTGCCTGCGCTGAGCTGCCCAACCCCCAACCCTGACAAACCAGGTACTCGTGATGCTGGTCGTGGTCTTGGTCTGAGTGATACTGCTGCTGGTCTCCTGGTGGGCGCTCAGACAGCTCGGGCCATGGGGACCCATGATGGGGACCCGCAACACTCGGACGTGTGGATCGAATCCGAAGACCCCTACCATCTCTATTAAAGCTAGTTGAGCACCTGTGCCCAACAATCTGATCAGATATGATCCCGGCCTGTTATCTCTAATTAACCTATAACAATCAGCCAATTACCGTACCAGTTGGCACGGCTTCGTCGTGCGCCGCGTGAAACGCGCTCCGAAAGAGTGGTACTGCTCTCGGTGGTACTGCTGTCTGTGGTGCTGGACGAGGTCCACGTGGCAGTCTCGCTGGTGCCTCGGCACGTGCGTCGCGCGCTTGCTTGCCTGTTGGCAAGCCGGTCGACCTGTGTTGGTCGAATGGGGGTTCGCAAAAACAGTCACCATAGGCTCGGTGGAATGCGGGAATGCGCTTGGAAGGTAGGAGATGGAGGCTTTTGCAGGAGTTGCAGGCGTTCTGCGAAACTACACCATGATTGGGCACCGTGAATGCAAGTATTCCATCCGTGGCTGGTCTGTATCTGTTGCTTCAAACCTGCCGGAGGGGAGCGAGTGTTTACGATTCGCTTCCCAAACATCCAAGATTCAACCTCCCAAAGTCAAATGTGGTCATGGTTGCTGAGTTCACTCATGTTCACTTGACATGTTTGGGGCTTGGGGCTTGCGGTTTCCTAGTCGGAACCCACCTCTCATGCGTATGTTCTCGTATGTTCAACAAGGAGGGTGGATTTGGAAGCTGGTTTTTCAATGTTTTTCATCTACCACCACTTGCATATTACTTCTGAAGCTGGCTACAAACACTTGAAAATAAGTAATAACTGCAAAAGGCAAGACCACAGTAGCATCTAAGTCCAATTCCATCCGCGTCCTTTAGACTACAACTCTCCCCAAACACCCAGCGAACATGGTTGAACTCGATGTCTGCCCAATTGGGATCGGTCGAATCGCCGAACCCATCCGACACCATTCCTTCCCAGCAGCTGGTCATGGTGGTCTGGGTCAGGCTGACGGTCTGCGTTCGGCTACTGGAGGTGGAGGTCGTCTTGGAGGTGGTCCCCGTGCGAGTGACACTGCTGCTCACCGTGCTACTCGAGGAGCTCGTGGTCGCCTCGAGGCCAACTCGCGCCGCCAACGGGCTCTTGGGCTTTTGGGAGTGCTTTGTTTAGGCACGACTTGGGAAGTTTGAAGGATGGAGATGACGAGAATTGATGAGATGTGGAAACGGGATTTTGAACAGCCTGTCATCCAGCTCGCCCTTCAGCACGCCCTTCAGCACCCGACTCACGGCTCGTGCTCTTCCCCGGCCGAGCAGCCGTACTGGAGCTGCTATGAGTGAGAGTCGTGCTGCTTCGCGTCCGGGACGTGGAGCTTTCACTGGTCGTACTGCTGTGACTCCGACCTGCAAGCTGAGCTAAGGAGGAAATGGCCGAGCACCTGCCCAACACGAGCGATGGGACGAGTAGCCTCCTTTACTACTAATTTTGTTCAAATTAAATTCTAATCTATTGTTTCTACTAGCTTCTTGTTCCTAGTAGTAAGGCCCTTGCTGCTAGTAGTAAGGCCAGGAGCCCCGTTCGTAGCGTCCGAACGCTCCTACCCGTTCACTTACCCATATTTGCCCTATGAACATGACCCATCCATGTAGGTAACTATTTCAGTCCCATGGTCTGAGAGTGGCGATGAAGCAGTGGTCAAGTAAACACCAAGACGAAAGGTGTGAGAGACAGAGGCCCGCTGGGCCGGCAACCACACAGGGGCTTCATGAGAAACTGGTTGAGAAATAATGTCAAAGGATGCAATGCATACTGAGTGGGCATCCACATTAAACTCCCAAATGGCTCATAGCCGAGAAACAGCAAGAAGATTGTGAAACTTTGAACACCAACACATGCAGCACATGTTTGTGAAACAAAATGGAGAGACCAGTGGTTTGCACTATGACCGTATACCATTGTGTTTCATTTTTTTGTCACAATAGCAATACACCTTTCTTGCCTTGCTACAGTTCATTCTCACGCATCTACATTGTCTGCTGAACACCAGTAGTTACTCCACCTCCTCAAACCTGCCATGGTATTTGGAAGCGACCGAAACGACCTCAGAAATGAGGAACTGGCCTTGGCCAAGGTGTTTCATCGTTTCGTAAGCAAGAGAAGAGCTTTAAGGGTCCACCCCTTGGTCCTGCCACCCCACCACCTCTGGATTCCATGTCTCTGAAGCAACAGGTCGAATCCAAGGAGCTGGTCGAGCTGGTGCTGATGCTGCTGACCGTGGAACTTTGAGTGATCGAGCTGGTACTAGTGACCGTTAGGGTACTCAGGCTGGTGCTGCTACCTCGATCAGAAGTGCGCGAAACCTCTGTCTGGTTTCCTTGACCTGGAACCCGAAACATGGGAAACCAACCCATTTTGAAGCTGGGAATCGAGTAGTGTTAGGGGCTTCAAGAAGGATCTTGAAACTTGAAACCTTTACCCCCAACACTAGAACAAGTAACTAGCATTTCTTAGCATTACTGTATTCCTGTTCAATAGTTCAACGAACGTGATTAGACAAAAAAAAATCTCCAAGTAGCTTTGCTTACACCAAAACCTTTTCCAAACTTGACCATAACTGATGTGGCCAGTAAAATGTTGAATGCCTATCCAAGCCATCGGTCGTAAAGGCATCAGAATGACTCCTCGCCACAAAGCCAAAGAGCAACTATAGGACAAACCAACAACCCAAATACTCCATGTATGGCATATTTACCTACCTTGGGGTGGTTTCGGGGGTCGATGTAAGTAACTAAGTATATACCATATTATATATACTAAAATATGTTTATATATATATATTCCATACGCGAAGTCTCTGGAAATCAACATGTTTTTAAGATGCCCCATCCACTCCAAAAGCAAACTGCCAACTGCCCAAGATCCCTCCACAACGCTAGACTCCACTCTTTCTCTGCAATCCAAGCACTGCTCCTGCTGGTGCTAGTACCAGTGGTGCTGGTGGTCTTGGAGCTGCTAGTGGTGAGGCTGGTGCTACTGGTCCTGGTGAAGGTCAAACTGCTCGTGGAGCTACTAGTCACCGTGGAGCTCGAGGACGTCACGCTCGTGCCTTCGTCACGTGCGACGTGCAGTCGAACGGTGCTGCGGTGCCACGTCAGATGCATACGTATATACTGCGCACAGCTGGTACTCCAAAAGCCACGTACAAAAGTATTGTCGGATGCTCATACATCTAAAACACCAGTCAAATATAGTCAGATCCTTCGGTTGGCATTTCTGCATGAGATGCCGAAGCTCATGAAAGCTGCTGTAGATAGATTCAAACCCCAAACACACAAAGGCCACAATATCCGATAACCACTTGACCTAGCTACCTAGTTTCTGAAAGGAGAATAAGCAAAAGGCAATCGTTTTGTTCACCCAGTTTCTTGCAAGGTCACACCCTTTTATGGGCTTCAACCTTCTGATTGAAAACCAATATTGCTTGAAACACCTGAGCCACATGCGCCCGTTCCCAGGGCACCTGTCGAGCTGGTCCCGGTCTCCCCAGTGCTGCTGCTGGTGAAGCTCCATGTGCTGCTTGTGGTGGGCGTCGTGGTGATCGTGAGGCTGGATCTGCGCGTGGGCGGGCTTCGCCCGCTGAGAGTTGGAAGTGATGGATTGGAGAGATCCAAAAAAACATCCGGGCCGTCACCAACTCATCTTTCTTGTTTCTTCTTTTGGAGTCCAAAAAAATGGTGGCCAGGGGGTTGGTTTCGCCTCGAGAAGTCTGAGACCGTTGTGAAACGAAGCACAGCGATGATCAAGAGGATAAGACAAAGAGCTATGAACAGAAGTTCGGAGTTCGGTGCACCACGAGCCTGGTTGTGGTCAATGTGGTCGTTTTGGTGCTTGTAGCAGAGGTTACCTAAGTGGGCACATGGGTATCAAATGCGAAGGGAAAAAAAAAGCAACTGGACGTGGTGCAAATGCCCAGTTCTGAAACCTTGCTCCGCAGGTCATGGGCTGCAACAAAGGTTGCCCAATCATCCGACTCATATGATGTGTCCAGCATGTGGTTTCTGGTGGGTTGGTGGCTCACCCCAATGAATGTGTTACTGTAATGTGTTTATTCATTGTATTCAAGCCTGACAAGTGCACCTCTGCCAACAACGCACCCGAATCCTGAAGATGCGAAGGTGTACGGGGAAGCGTCTTCCGGCAATTGTTTTGCAAGTTCCTTCAGTACAGTACGACTGACAAATACAGGTATGGCCATGTATGGCCCAATCTTCGGGGGACAGATTGGGGACTGAAACATATTGATTAAATATTTGGTACCATCTACTCCATCGAGATGTCAAAACAAAGGCTTTCTGGCAATAACCAGGTTTTTAAGCTTAGAACCTTTAAATTCAATCTTTCTTTGTGCGCCTTTCCTCTTGGGGAAAGGGTCCGGTGCAGGCTCGAGGACCATGTTCGGCTCGGCTCGCAGCAGCTCGGGCGGAGCAAAGCTGCTGACTGTGGAGTTGGGAGGATCTCACCCTTTTGGGGAAAGATCTTCCCAGCTCAATACAATCCAGATTCAGGATGGATTGGGATGAATCCATGTCAACATGTCCACCATCAGAACCATTTCTGACCGCTCTGACCGCTCAACTGAGTCTCCATGGCTTGGGTGGCCGTGGCTTGGCAGCACATCGCCATCTGTGATGAACAGGAACAAAGGGCACCCCTTCAGCCGAGGAGCAGTCTGCGTAAGAGAAGTGGTTGATCTAGAAGTCGTGCCTCAGTACCGGCACAACTGCGCCATGGAGCAGTGGAAGGGTGACACAAACTCCGAATTGGTGTACTCCGAATTGAGCAAACAAGTAAGAAACACCGTCAAAATGTCCGCTGGTAAGCAAAAAGTTATATATATAATACATTCTTCACACTGATGTTGCATTCAATTCTCATGAATTGACCCACGGACCAGGTAACATCAATTGGCAACATGGCAGGAGCAAGCAACTTTTCCTCATGATGCCAGATCAACTAGAAATCCGACGGAGTCCAATCAGTGAAAGTTCGAGATCACCCCTCCTATGGAGGCACCCACGGTCCAGTGGCAGCCTAGTGGCTGGTCTTGGTGCCAGTGTAAGTCGACGTGAAGGTCACAGTGCTGCTGGTCGCTGATTGGCTGGTGCTGGTGCGAGTGGTGCTGCTGGTCACGGTCGAGGAGACAATGGTTCCTGAGAGCTGGCAGCCCGCTGGTTCCCACGGTCCGGAGTGACATGGAGAAAGGGAGGACCTGAACAGAACGATTCGGAACTGAAGACTGAATTCTTGTTGAAAAAACCCGTTTGAGACCAGGTGATTACCATGAGTATGTGGCACCTCTCCCACTAGCTGGATCATCAGCTTGGTGCAAAATATCAATTTCGAAACTGTATCAAAACTTGCTTCGTCCTGACCGCGTGGAACGTTTTGTCAGCTGTATAGTAGTGAGAAGTAAGGTGTGTCTCAAATATTCTCAAACCCAAGAAACACAAAAAGCTACAAGCTAAAAGGAAGTTGTCCTTTGGTTCTTCCTGCAACCCTTGTGGTCTCAACTGTCTCAACCGTCACCCGACCCTCTGCTCCGAGAACCTCGACCCGTCTCGCCAAAGAACGTGTGCTACTGGTGGTGGTGGGCAGCAAGCAGGTCACCGTGGCGCTGCCGTCGCACAGAGGAGTGCCACCAAAGTTGCAGCCTCGTTGCAGCACCTCCGATCCTCACCTTTCACCTTTCTCTTTGCCCTTGAAAAAGGTGGCCTCCGACCTAAGAGCGAAGGCCTCCACCCTAGTAGCGATGGCCTCCACCCTAGTAGCGATGGCCTCCCTCTTGCAGTCATGGGATGATCCCTCCGTTGCACTGATCCATTGGATGATCCTCCCTGTCCTCCCCTTCGTCAATCTATGGGATGATCTCTTTCTCTCTCTCTCTCTCTCTCTCTGCCATCTTTGACGAAGGGGACGGTCCCCATAAACAGAAGTGCAAAGGGGATGCTCACCGAACATGGGGCTCAGCGGGGCTCAGCAGGGCTACGCCAGGACTAGCTTGACCCAAGAACTGGACAATGTGCTTTCAAGTGGGCCTTCTCAAAAAGGCATAGCATAATTTTAAACAAAGAACCTTGCCCTCTGGCCTGCATCTTTTTGGGATATGTGATAAATCATTTGGTCATCAAAAAGCTAAAAGCACCCTCTTTTCCTTTTGACTCCTGCCAGTGTTGCAACCTTCCAACTGCTCCCGTCCACTGTATATAAATCATAATTGGTCAACTCTTATTTCTGGTCCGTTTCTCAAGAACGCTCATCCACAGCCACCAGTTCCCTCCTCCACACCATGACAATCAGCTATCCTTCGGCCGAACTTTCGTCCCTCTCAACCGACATCCTCCAACACTTCACGACGTCGGGCCCTCCTTCTACGTCGCGTTCCGTCCGGATCCGTCCGCATTTTCCCGTTTCCGGCGGGTGGACACCGTGATGCCGCCCAAGGCGCCGGTATATTCACTGCAGGGCTGGCAGCCTGGCAAGACCTCCGGGCAGTCCATGAAGGCGCCGTTGATGGCGGAGACCTTGGGACGGGGCGACGAACATCAGGGTGTTTCGCCCAGCGACCGAGTCGCGATCGCGGGTGAACCAAGGGGGAAGAGGCCGGGTTTACGACGGTTCGGCCCCCGCGACTGGTGTGAGAGTAGTGGAGTCAAGCCAAAGAAACCGCGGATATATTTGTCATTATAGTGGATCAACAGGATGCTATGCCCCTCATGAAAGGCGCGCAGTCGGGGAGAGGAGGATTCCCAACAAAGAGCTAGAAACGTAGCGCGAGCATGCGCGCGAATATGCAAGCCAATGGAGTACGGCAAGTGATGAAGGCTTCTGTTAAAGGTTCTGTTGTGATCCATATTGTATGTTTGGTTCTGCAGCTTTTCCCCTCAATGATGTTACTGTCCCCATATTTGACAAGCGTCAGGTATGTATACACCAATCAGTCTCGCTGCTGATGGGCCACCTTCAACAACAGAACCACTCTAGCTCGTTCTGCGCTAATGAGCATAGAATATTGCCCGAGCGTGGACATGGGTGACGCTGTGAAAACTATCAACATCTATTATATATCACCCTCTTGTGAGCTCTTGAGCCTGTACCATTCCGAAACTAAACACAAAACCTCAAAAGGTATATGATACAGTGATACAGTATGTCATGATGTGTCATGTATCCTGATGGAGTGTGTCATATTTGCATTTAATGGGTGATCCTTAAGTCCAAGCTGCACGAGCTTGCCCACTACTCGAGGCCTGCACTTGTGGAAACTTGAAGGACATGACATCGAGCAAAGGAGAATCGCTAATTGTCTTTAAAACAACAAGTTCTATAACAAATATGAGACATATTGAGAAATAGGACTGCAACGCCGTGGGGATATTCAAACAATTTTCAACAATCTATCTATCTATCTATCTATCTATCTATCTATCTATCTATCTATCTACATATTGGCCAAAACTGGGCATTCCTTATTATCCCCAAACAATCTATCGTAGCCGATGATGGAACGATCTTTGCAAACAGATTGGAAGAACTGCCGCTGGTGCCGGCCTGAACCTGGGCGTACAAAGGCCTCGTGGTGTTGCCTCAGATCTGCTGTTGAGCGGCAATATTCATGTGATGTTTCAGTCAAAATGCAAAAACACACTGAAAAAAGAACATAACATATATTATATACTGGCTTAGACTTCGTTTCACATTGAACATTCGCACATATCCTGGTCAAATATAGGCTTGGACTTGGTTAGAGACTGAACATCCACGGAAATCCTGGTACCAAACCTCCTACCGCACTTTATGTGTTTTCTGGGTCCTGCAGGTCCAAAAGTATGCTTCCCAATTTCGTCAACCGGAAGGAAGGCCCCAAGACTCCAGACTCTCACGATCGCACCCTATGAATCCACCAGACTATGAATCGCAGGTGACTGATGTTGACTGGTATTTAATTTGTGCATGAGCGTGTTTCAAGAGTGAGACTGGTTTTGGTGTAGTTACAGGATCTATCGGAATCTATCGGTATGGATCACACATCTGATCTGAAGACCAAACACCTGAAGGGACCAAACATGACCAAAATCTGACGTCTTCCATTCATACGGCGCATTGGTTCCACTCAGAGAATGCTATTCATATGGCTATGGGTCAAAACCAGGATACCTTGGTACCACGACTTGCTTGCTTGCGATAACATCCACTCGCTACCCTAACATCCCTTTGTATACTGTGATACCGGGTTTGAAGGGCGTGAGAAGGTGGTGAAACAGAAACACTAATTGTCTGTGTCCACTTTGGTAGTGGAAACATATCACTTCAAGAAACATATGAATCACTTCACCAGGATACCTTGGTTGACATACCTGGTGTCGGTCGTTCGCTATATGGTTGACTTTTTCGGGTTCCAGGCTTTTCAACCCATCCGCTGCCCGATCAGCGTGTGGAACTATGCTTCACTGCTTTCCCAGGCACCCAGCGTCTTCAACATTTCAATCACCGGGAAGGCTTCCTCTGGCGATGACCCAGAGTCTGCGGCATTCTGCCGATCCCCGGTGAAGTACCAATCCATGCCTTCATACCTGGCAGCGTGGTGCACGCACGGGGCGGTCCATGCCCTACATGGACCTGGTGCCACCAACACCGGCGGTTTCGGGCGGCCACTTAGGATCCTGTGAACGAGAAGGAATCATTGTGGACCTGTTTGGCCAGAGAAGGCCCTTTCCAGGCGAAGTGGGGCAACCCCGCTGTAGACTACTCTCCAAACAAACTCAAGGCGTCGAGGCTGCAAGTGGCCGCAACACCCACCACTCTTGAAGGGCATCCTTTCATTCTATCCTATTACCTGTAACAGTGGATGATGGTTAGTAAATGCCTTGTCTAAAAATAGATAATTGTTTACTGAGGTTGCAGGTAATAGGACAGACCCCAGGCATCCTCATGTGTCCTTTCGGGCAGCTGCGGTTCGCGGTTCGCCAGTCCCTTCTTGTCCCTTCACCGGTGTGGCTCAAATGTTCTATGTGTAACGTGCACGACTTGCATCAAATGCATCTGACCCACTTCCATATGGCGGCAGGAAGTTAACAACATGATATGCTTCTGACAGCTGGACATCCTGCTGAGAAGCAGTCCCTTTCAGCCGTACGTGCGTGTGCATCCACTTGATCATCTGAGTGGATGCTCCGCATTTGACATCTGGATTCTAAACTCTGGTCATCAAACTACTGATGTTCTTTCTGACGCATTTGATGCCTCAATGATTTTGCAGTTCCCCTGCAGCCGAGCTACGCCAAGCAATAGTCCTGGATGTTGTTACACCCTTGCCGTCCCTGACCGCACGTATTTGATGGAGTGATTTGTGTTGTGAAGTATACCAAAAAATGAGCAGCTTCAAGCAGCTTCTTGGAATCCCAGTGTTTCAATCATGCTCACCACAAAGACAGTGGGCGCAAATTAGTCAGTGCAGAAATAAAATCTCCGCAGTTGCATCTTTGACCTTGACACCAAATGCCTCTGTTCACCTGTTTTTCTCTTCCTCTTTCACTTGTTGGCAGAGCAAAGAGTTCTTGTTGCACGTGCGCCACCTGTTCTTGATAAGAAGATGCCGATGTGGGGTGTGAGTCGGAGCGGCACAGGAATTCTGAATCTATTGGAATGGCGTGGGATTGGGATCTCCCTGCATTGAAGAAAATTTGCTTGGGATAAAGTATCCTCGAAAGACCAGGTTCTCGAACAAACATACACTCAGTTCTTTCAACATGAAACCTCCCTGAACTAATAGTGCAAGCACAGGCAGGGAGAATGGGAACTTAAAGGTGGACGGTGGAGTTGAGCCATGCAGTAAGAACGGTCTTGCCTACGAAAGAACCACTGCATCACTGCATCACGCAAACTTCCCCCTAGCCCGGCTGGCGACCGAAAAGGAAAGAACACCCCACCCCACCCCACCACACCTCGAACGATGCCGCACAAATCCCGGCGATGCAAGCATCATCAGTGCCCTGACAGCGAACAGGTGCTTGCCTGCCCTGGTGCATTTTGGTGTGGATTCATGGATGGCTGCCTTTTGGACGTGGAAATCCTGCCCTGACGGATTACGAAAAAAAGTGGAGATTCATGAGGATTACGAGGCATCAACTGCCGATCAAAACTCATGGAGGTTGACAACCCACCATGATCGGCCGAACCTAAAGCCTGGAGGTGGGAAGTTTTTTGCACCAGGCCACTACCATCGTTTTGTTTTGCCGTAGTAGGGAACTGTCTTAGGTCAATGTAGACTCCTGATCAAAACAATACTCTCATTTGGATTGAACAACCTCTTCATTTGGGGGGGTTGTTAATCAACAGCGTAAGTCAGTAGCGCTTGAAGAGGGGAGAACTTTGGCCATCTCTGTATGATATACAAAAACCAGTGGCCGTTCCGTGGGTGAAACCAGTTGGGTTTGGAGGCAAGGCTCGGCAAAACCAGTTGGATTCCGAACACATCCCAACAAAGAATTGCCTCAGCCCCTCAAAGGTCCTATATATGCAATATTCAGTACATGACCTGTGTGTTGATGGACAAACATCCCACACCATGGGTCCTACACCACTTGGACCACTGGATCCTCTCAAAGTGGCTTTCTCTTTCTTCATCTTGCTTCCATCAAGACAAGAAACTCCTCTTTGGGCTCCAAACCACAAGGACCACTCCACCCGGCTTCCGGCTTCCGGCGCGCATCTCTGACGCCGAGCAGCATCCCGGAGCTCCAAATCCCAGTCATCCGTCGCGGCCATCGTCAGCTCCACGCCTCCACCCAGGAGCTCGGGGGCTCTGCACAGAACAGGACAGGTCACAGCACCAGGGGACACGTTCACCGGTGTTCTTGTTGTGGCCCAAAGAGGTCAAGACGTGCACTTGTTGTCACAAGGATCAACGATGGACATATGGGGGAGATATGGGGGATCTTGGAGGTATCCCCTCTATCAATCAACCAAACAGGAACCAACAGTAAAGGCAATCTGTGATAACAATATACAATATAGTGTACAATGATGTTTCTCCAGTGAAAAAAAAACTCATGAAATATGCAACACTGATATTGTATGAGATTGTCTTCTATGGGTTGCTCCCAGCTTGATGAACAAGCGCCCTGTCTCTGCTGGGGCAAAATGAACGTCTCAGCACTCAGCACTCATTCAATGTCTCATCATGTTCGCACGGTCCGAATGGTCCAATATTGAGATTGATAGTCATCTTGGAGTAGATAGAACGTGGAAGAATCCAAACATCACTATATAGGAAACTGGTCCTGTTCGGGGATTGAATCAGATTCTTTTACTCCAGGATGTTTGTATATACAAAACATTGTGGACACCACAAACCTCTTATGGACGGCTCATGGCTCCATGAACGAAGCTTGAAACCACGTGCCTGGAGTGCCCACGGGTAAGGAGATCATGTTCAGCGTCTTGCCCTTATCAAGCGAAACCTGGCACGTGACGGTCAAACACAGAAGCCTGTTAGGGACTTGATCTGAACGAACCCTCATATATCATGAGTCATCAAATATTGGATGCTGCAATGCTCAACACTAGATGTCCAAAAATAAACATATAAGAAGTAACAGCAGCCACACCCCAAAATATGGACTGTCGACTCGCAAGCACAGGAAAGGCCCTTCGGCCCCAGCCCTCCGATGGACGAAACTGAGTTTCGCACCGTCGTACTACAGCGCCCGCCGCCGCACAAGACCACCAACGGGTCCTCGGTGGCGTAGCAGTGCAGCGTTGGTCCGCCTTCTGATTGCAGGTTCAAAGGTTGGACCAAGTGCTCAGACTCGTCTTGGGCCAAAGACGCAATGTTGAACATCAGAAGACCCAACTGATCAATTGACTGGGAGCACTCTCCTCAACTAGTCATGTCCAGTTTAGAAATACTTAGAAATCATTGATCATTTGGCTCAAAAGCTGTTCAAATGGTCTGCCCTTCCAAGGTGGTTTATGGATCTGTAAACCTCTTTCTGTGGTATTCACGAGGAAGCCAAAAGGGGAGTTGTGGGACCGGGATGGTTGCAGACCCAAATTGAAATAACAGGGTGCTGATGACATGCTGAAGAGTCGGATTAAATGCTTTTTTGTGTAAGATCTCTTCATTAAGGCCAACGACCACAACAGCACGAGAAGAAGTAGCAGTCACTACAACTCTAGATGTATTATGTTGTGATAAAAACACGATTAGACATAGAGTATAGTATTGTATATGGCTCCTCCCTTGGATAGGCACCACGTGGGTCTCACCCTGGAATCAAATATATATATATATATATATACACTGTATATACATGTATATATATATATAATTCTATGTTTGTTGCCTACAGAGCTCCAACCCCCAAGACACACACACACACCTTTCGCTTTCTCATCCTTTCTCCAAGCAGCTGCCTTGAATTCGTCCGGCTTGCAAGGCGCCTCGCACGTGACAGACTGAAGGCTCCTGGACGCTGGACGCTCGACCTTAAAAACACCCAAGGACGTTTTGGGAATGCACCGAGTTTTGAGTTTGGTGATTTGGTTCAAGTGTTTGTAGCTTTTCTCTGAGGTCTTGCTGAAAAGGTACAAGAACACAGGAGCTCAACATGACTATCGATCACCATCCATTCACCATCCGTGTGTACTTGAAAGAAAGCACCTTTGAAGGGTGTCCAGAACTCCGAGAGGCCCTAGGCCCTCATCAACCTCCGGTGGCAACCGGGTCCGGTTTCTACAGTGAGCGACTCGCTTCGTTTGGGGCGACTCGTCCACCAAGGTCGGCCGTTTTCTTAAAGTGAGCCTGAACATAATGTAGACTCTTGATTAATACACCACCGCAATTGAATTGAAAATCCTCTTCAAAGGGGGGGTTTATTAATCAATAATCAAGAGTCAAGAGTCTACATTAAATCACTTCAGTCTTAAGTCTTCTGCATACGACCGACCACATCGAGCTCCTCTGCGCATTCGCGACAAAAAGGAGCATCAACCAAGCCACCTGGGCAGTCCAAACTGCACAAAAAAAAGGCAGGACATCAATGGGCTTGTGGCCCATGAAGCAGTGAAGTATGCCAATATTCTGGAGAACAACGCAAACAAATCCACTGCCACTACCTGTGTCCATTTACTTAGTTGCTCTCTAGCCATACTATCTCCAGCATGGGATCATCATCATCATCATCATCATCATCATCATCAGCATGGACGATTGTCATTGTGGAAAACCGTCCATGCCAAACAAATACCACGCACCATGCCGTTTGTTTTGCAATCCACCCAGCCTTCTGGCGCATCTTTATGCGCCCAAGTACACATGGCGCTCGCGTTGCGCAAAAATGGGCAATGCACGTTGCTGCTGTAGGTTGCTGCATGTTGCTGCCGTGTGTTTTTTCCATTTAACCGAGGCCTAAACATGTGGTCACACCATGTCACACCGACATGGGCACAGAGAAAGAAGTGTTCCTATATGTGCCTATGTTACTCTTCCTATTATAAACCAGTCCAATCACAGAAAACCAGTCCTATGCCCTATGCTTGCTGGGTAACTTGCCAACTGAACATGCACAAAGCTCCAGATGCAAACTTCAATGTATCCTAAGGCTGGGTAGCGCTGAGTGGTTTGTGGGTGCTTTTGTATGCTTGGTGTTGCCGGTTCCATGGCAAACAGCCTCTGTGTCCTGTGTATATACAGCTGAGCAAATTTGCAGCAAAATGCTCAGGAGCTTTCAATACAGCATACTCAAGACCATGGAACTTTTTGCCAGTCATGTCTTTAATCAAGTGTGAATCATACCAACTTATACCGACTTTGGATGGGCTCCTTCACTTTGCAACGCGCATCAAGTTCCAACATGGACTTCATTTGGCGCTTTCTCCAGTTGGGTCCCACCCCTGAGCTCACACGCCTGAGAGGCATCCACGAGGAAGTCCTCGTTGCCAAAACTTCTCCGAACAGCAGTTGGTTTTCCCATACAAGAGTTCCTTCGTATCCAAAGCGGCGCAACTTCCATCTTGAAAGGAAGTTCTTTTGAGAATCCACATTGTCTTGTCAGACATTGTCCTTTTGGAATTATGTTGGTCATTGCGGTCCAAGTTTGCAACAGCGAAGAAGGCGTTCTACAGCCAGCAGCTGGGCTCCCCTACAGCCAGTGGGCCTTGTTGATGGCCAAAGGCGGAGGGCTTGGCCTGACGAAGCTTGGTCAAACAGTGAATGGAGAGATCGGTCCAAGGGATTGCATTGTGGCCTTTGGTCTTCGGAAACCAAGGTCAAGAGAGAGAGAGAGAGCAATGTTGTTTCGACTTTTGTAATTGAATTGTCAAGGACACCAGAAGAAGTAACTTGTTGCTGTTGAAACTTGGTCTAGCTCATTAGCTTCTTTAGTACTGCGTTCCTTTGTTTGAATCTGAATGCTCTTAAGAAGGAAATGTTTAACAACAGAAAAAAGCAAAAGAACCCTTGTGAAGGTTGAAGGCTTCCTTTTGGCGCTCAGTTTTAAAAGCATTTGCCTACCAAGGGGTGTCTGATGTTCTACAAGAGAGAACACCAAAAAAAACAAAACAAACTACCAACACAATTTTAAAAAAGATGCAAAATGCAAAAAAAAGATGTTTGAGACAAAATGAGGGTACTATAGGATTTGGATGTGTATTTTGCTTTTGTTTTGCCTTCATTTTGTCTCAAACATTGGTTTTTTGATTTTGATGTTTTTTTTGGTGTGCTTTGTTGATATTGTATTTGTTTGTTTTTTGCTGTGTTGTTTTTATTACTTTGTTTTTTTTGGTTCTTCGGTATTCTCTCTAAGCCTTTGTCGGCCTGGTCTGAACAAATTGAAGCAAACCAATAACTCAAAGCCATGGTTTTTTGTGAGGTGTCAGCCAAAAACTACTGCTCTGTCCGCCCTGCTCTGCCCGCGTGCCTCATCGGTCTGGTCCTTGGTGTCTCCTGAAACAGCGGCAGCAGTCTCGAGCATCGGTGAAACCCGTCAAAGTTGGCCAAACACCGGAACTTTCAGCTACAAGAGCAATCAATATTTATATATACATATATTATATATACACATGTTATATAGATACATACATATATGTCCAAAATAACATGCTTTGGAACAGACTGCTAGTGCGTGGGTGGCATTCAGTTTTCGTAAAACTGTCCAATCATTCAGTTCGACTGATTCCAGTTTTGCTCATGGGCAACAACCTTGCAATTAGCTGTCCGGTCTGCTGTGAACAGTGGCCAACAACCCTGTGTTGCAAACCAGTTCATCAATTCATCATCAATGAACACTTAATTGATGTGCCAAGTCCTTGCTACGGAGTGGAACGCCTCTTCCAAGGACCACTACCACTCTTGTATAGCCGTCCGTTCCCCTCGCCTGGCAGCGAGTGGAACACGGCCTCGAACTCTAAGAGGTCCCGAGGCACGGAGGACACCGGCGCCGGCGCCTGCGGTGATTGGGCGGTGATTGGTGAGAGAGGTGTATGCTAATAGCAAACATTGTTACTACTAGTAAGGCACTTGTTTCTAATAGCTTCTTGTTACTACTAGTAAGGCACTTGTTACTGCTAGCGTGGCACTTGTTCCTAGTAGCTTCTTGTTTCTAATAGCAAACATTGTTACTACTAGTAAGGCACTTGTTACGAACGTAGCGATGCACTTGTTCCTAGTAGCGAACATTGTTTCTACTTCTATGTCTTGTTTCTAATAGCTTCTTGTTCCTAGTAGTAAGGCCAGGAGCTACTAGTAGCGTCCTTGCTCCTAGTAGCGATGCCAGGAGCCCCTACTAGCGTCCTTGTTACTAGTATGGTCCGTAGACGTTTTAGAACTGCAGTTGTGAATCGTTATGGAGAGAACGTGAAATCGCTGTGATTGGCGTGTGGAATCCCTTGTTTCTCCTCAATACTAAAATATATCATTGGCTATGTTATCGTTGTGCAGTTGCAGAAACTGCCAATGTCCTTCCAGTCTGATCTATACCAGTGGCTACAACCGAACGAACTCTTCTCGTCCATCTGGAATCTGGATTAGCCTATATCCCCAAACGAAAAATGGAGTATTTGTCAACCGTCCTTCGCACTTCCTGCTTGCCACATGATTTCTTCAGGCCCAATTCCTTTGTCAACCAACCTGTGCCGCCACCCCCAAAACCCGTCGCGTCACACGGCCGTGTCTGGGGCCTTGTGGATGATACGGCCTCCAGGGGCCCTTTCAGAGTAGATGGCACAGACCCCATGATGTCCAGATGGGGGGTCCATATAAACTATCTCTTGGGGTCTGTGCCATCTACTCTCAATCCACTATCACTTAATCTACACTGTCCAGTTTGATCAACTCGATCATGTCCACCGCCAGCACCCACCACCGGCAACTCTGTGGGAAGACCTGCTTCTCCGCAGACTCCTCTGGGAGGCCCAGCTCAAGGGCATCCTCAGGCTGCCGGTGGAACAAATGAAAGGTGAAGCCTATGGGACAGAAACCTCCCTCTTTGAAGGGTACAAAGGTCATACTGCAAAGGCTTAAGAGCTTTCAAGCGGTGTAATGGTTGGAGAAAGAGGATTCTAAAATGTGGGCATGCTCCATGTAGCAGCAAGAACTTGCAACATGTTGAGCTCTGGGCGGGACTTCACTTCCAGTGCCAGACTACAATGATAAAAATCTCTCTCTCTCTCTCTCCCTCTCTCTCTCTCTCGAAAGAACCCTCCAATGTTCCAGAAGCTCTGCGTACAAACCGATCAAATCAATGCGAATCTGTCCTCTTCCACACTGCAAAGGAGCTCCAAACATTGCCGGACCTGAACTATTCCAGCCGAGCCACCGGGGCCGGAAGTATAGGTGACTTGTTACTCAGCACAAGAGTCTGTCTCCATCAACTTGCTGTACTCAAATTTCTCGCCTTCTCCACTGGTATGAGGAAGGGACTCCAGCTGTTTCAACGAATCTATGGCAAAACCCGTGCAGCACAGTATGCCATACTTAGCTGCCAAACACTGGAAGACATGGATTGACTATATGACTCTATGACTATGTACATTGGATCTTGAGACCTGAATAGGGATTCTGTGGAATCCATTAAGCTTCGAAAACAAAAAAAAACTTATTCTTTGGTGGTTCAACCATGACCACAAGCACTTGAAGAGAACATCTTATATCAAACGCAAGTCAACGCCTGTGACAGTCCCTGGTAAATGTCCAGCCTTGACACAAAAACCTTCCTGCATCAAGATCAAGCCTGTATGCTCCTAAAAATGACACCTCATGCATGAAGAGGTTGTACAATCCATGTCTGGAGGGGTTGTTTACTCATTAAGATTCTGCATCAGTTGCAATCTTTGGATGATCCAAACACTTCCAGCCTCGGTTTTGGACTATTGTTTCAGCTGAGGACTGCGACCAGAACCGCTTGCTCAGTGTAGAGGTAGAGTGCCTTGCAATGGATGAAAGCTCAATCATGTTGACAAGAGTTCTAACGAGAGCGGCGGGACTTTGATCTTTGAATGGTCTCATGGATTTCATAGCTTCTGCATAAACAACTCTGATCAACACGAAACAGCCCAAAGGATGTTCCCTGATTGAGTTGATGCATTCGCATTCTACTCGTGCGTCTCTTTCATCTAGCGGCTTGAGAATGTCGGTGGGCACTGCTTTCGGGGTCAAACACTTGCTGAGAGTGTGATTGGATCCCTATTTGTCCCTATTGGTATCAAGCTTGGTACATTATTGCATGTGTCTTCCTTTCTGCTTCCATTCCCGCATCATGCAATAGGCAGCCAAATAATCAATAGACGGAAAAGAACGATGCTTCTCTGCAGGGGAAACGCAATCACAGTGCCAACCGCACCAGTCATGCGCCCGTTGATCCTTCGAGCTACCGGCGCTTCTCCGATCGTCGATCGGTGCTTCGCCTGGTTCCGGAAGAACTGTCGTCGCTCACGGCCTCACGTGTCAGCCCACACGGTGGACGTCCTTGTTGCCAGGATGTTTTTGGAGTGTTTTTCTTCCCCAAGCAGTATATGGTCACACTAAGGGTTCTTACCGTTATTGGTTAAGGCTGGGTTCTTACAGGGTTTGATCTGAGTTTGTTTGTTACTAATTATGTTAATATAGTAAAACAAGTACGTAAATGATGGAAGACGGATACCCCCAGGCGGCAGCTCCGCTCCCTCAGAACCGAGTTGTAGAGAATATCTCTAACCGGGTCTCAGGGGCCGGGGGACTGTTGTACCTGCTTGAATCGATAGATTGGTTATGATTGGTTTAAAGTTAAATGGGTGTCCTGTATTGTGCCTTAAATCAATTCTGAGATTGAAGCCGAACACAACACATGACTTGTTAAGGTGTGCAACCAGTTCGCTTTCTCA